ATCGTGCTCCCGCTGCAGCGCTGGCCTCATTTCCGTGCTTCCGCTCGTTCCGAATCGTGCTCCCGCTGCAGCACTGGCCTCATTTCCGCGCTTCCGCTCGTTCCGACTCGTGCTCCCGCTGCAGCGCTGGCGTCATTTCCCGTGCCATGCCACGGCATGCAATGCAATGCTACGTTGATGCTACGCTTTGCGGTGCTCTTCTACGCCATGCCATGCCGTGCTCTACAATGCATCGCGTACCCTTTCGGGATCATTGCCCTGTTCGACATCCGACTGTGCGAGTAGAGAGGGGATCTACGCCATGGTAAGGGATGGGAGGGAGGGGTAGGATGTCAGATATGACGCGAGGGCACCTAGCTTGCCGTCCCCTCCCCTCCCCTCCCCCCCCCCTCCCCTCCCCTCCTCCCCTCCCCTTCCCCTCCCCCCCTCCTCCTCCTCCTCCTCCTCCTCCTCCTCCTCCTCCTCCCCCTCCTCCTCCCCTCCTCCTCCTCCTCATCCCTCCTCCTCTCCCTCCTCTCCTCCTCCTCCTCCTCCTCCTCCTCTCCTCCTCCTCCCCCCTCCTCCTCCTCCTCCTCTCCTCCCTCCTCCCTCCTCCCTCCTCCTCCTCCTCCTCCTCCCTCCTCCTCCCTCCTCCTCCCTCCTCCTCCTCCTCCTCTTCCTCCTCCTCCGCCTCCGCTCGCTCTCCCTCCTCTCGCTCTCTTGCTCTTGCCGCCGTCCACCATCCCTTTCCTGCTCATTCTATGTGTCTGTCCCGGGCCAGCATGCACGCCGTTCGCAGGATCTCGGCTCGCAGGTGTCGTGAAGAGAGCCACTGAAAGAGAAGCGAACGCGATGTTCCTCTCAACGCCAATGTTTATCCAGTTGCGTCAGCTGGCGTCGTTGGCGAAAGACTATGTTGTGATGGTAAGGGGCTTTGGAACGCATGGCCTTCTCAATGCAATCAGTGTTATCTGTATTATCTGCGTTGTCAGTGGGGCATTGGGTACATGTGTATGTGTTTGTGTGCCATGGGGGTATGCAGGATCGAATGGCATGAGCATCACGAACAGCATGAACAACATGATGCACTGCGTATGCGCATGGGTGTTGTATGGTAGACGAGAGGGAAACCATGGTGCACGATTGTTCTCGGCATACATATTCATGTGTTCATTTGCAACAGCGAGGGGTGAACCAGACGGTGTACGGAGCAGACCTATCTCGAAACCCGCGGTGTGGCACAATGTTCATTGTCTCTGGGCCGCTTCAGCCAGCTCTGTCACGCTCTTGGCGCATACAATCCTGGTCGCGTGGTGTGCCAGAATGGTTCAGATAGGAGCACATGCGTGGGAATTCCGGCACGAAGGCGTTACCGACGGAGATGCACGAACGATTCACAGAGAAGCAGGAAGGGCATTCGAGGTTCTCAGCCAGTTGTCTGCGCTTGCTTATTTGGTTCAGAATCGCAGACAGGGCTGTCCAAACTGTGGTAAATCCTGGAGCCACTGATTTTGCATTACTCATGTGGGCCCACATCTGCCCGCTGGACATGTACAGCTGGTGGATACCCAGTCGCACGCACATGCTCAATCTCGGGGTCATATGTACATGCCAAGGTTACCATGCATTGTACGCGCGCACGTGTGGGATAACATCACAGCAATAGAAATCGCAAAAAGCATTGTGTATAAAGATTTTGTACGGTTTTCACATACGCGACATGATCGTTATATCTGGTCATTTCTTCGTCGAATTGAACAACAATTTGGTCGTGTCGATCATCAGACACCAGGTGTAATATACGGCTTCTTCGCGCCATGGTCCCGTCATTGTTATATCGGTCAAAGTGGTGGTACGGGGTGGGAACGTTTGAAAAGCCATAGGTATACAATGACAGGGGGTGTCGATAATATCGGTCAAAGTGGTACGGGGTGGGAACGTATAGGTCAATGACTCTAAAGGTTTACTGTATTCGGCGCATAGGCGTGGCTAAGTTCGTATTCCTCCCCTTTCTGCCCTTGCACAACGTCGCAAACCTGAAAGCGGACAGGGAATTCATCGAAGCTCAATGCATCACCCTGTTCAGGCCGTCTCTGAACGTCAACGGAGCGGTCGCCGGTCCGTGGGGCTTTGGCCAGCAGCGAAGCGAGATCATCCTGCCCAAGTCGAACAATCGGAGCGTCATGGCCTTGCGGGGCAGAGTAGCTAATGATCCGGATCGCAAGTTTGAGACTGCTGCCATTGAAGTACCAAATGGGGGCACATCAGTAACTGGATGGAGACGCCGGTTGCGAACCCTGGTCGAGCTGTCCAGGAGACCGATTTGGCAGAAAGGAAAAACAAATCATCGTCTAATCAACATCATCCGTGGGTGGACGCCAATCCAAAGACTTCGTATGACATCAACAGCTATGCGTCATTTGGGGGACAGGGAGAAGCACATGTACATGTATAACTTATCCATAGCATGCGGGCGCCGTGGTCAAGATTATGTGCGCGTGCATCTTCGTGATCCTGTACTGTGTCATGATGCTGTGCGTGTTGCTGTTCGTCGTTGGATTAAGTACCACATTACATCATTGCACAAGCACAAGCACATCGTTGTAATTGTATGCTTAACCATGACAACAACGGCGGCACGTGGGTTACTAGACATTCTGGAGAATTCAAGGCAGCAGCTGGCGAGATTCTTTGATCGAGGTGTCGTTCAATGTCAGTGCGGGGAGCCTCGTTTCTCCAGCTTCCCCAAAGTCCAGAACCATGTGTGTTGTCTACTCAGCGACGTGAAGTCAGACATTGCCCCTGGTTTGCCTCATGCGTGGAATGCAAGATCCAAGTTTGTACCCAATCTTGATATTTCAGTTGGTAACATCGGTGGGCACTTGCAAAACGTATTTGGCAAATTCAATAACGGGGAGATGTGCGACGTGGCGTTCGTCGCACAAACAATATCTGCAGTTCTCGACGCGCACAAGCAAGGCATTCCGCAGACAATCGCTATGGAGCTCAAAGCAAAGTACGGGGGCCTTGTTATCACGCCGGTCGACAAGGCACGGGGGGAGATGGCATTTTTGTGTCCATGTATGTATTCACGCTGTGTACGCGCATATTTGGATAAATCTGGCACTGTTCCCATATCAGATGAGCAGCAGGAGTCCCTCGCGGCAAAGTTTTTTACATGGCCGAATCGCTTGATCGAGTTGCCCTTCTGTTCTCTTCAAGCAGGCGCTCGCCACCAATTTGGGGCGCTCACATTGTGGGTAAAATTGAAGTCGATGCTTCCGCGGAGTACTACATGGGATGAGCTTAAATTCCGGCCTCTGGTATCATATAAAAAGCATCACTGGAGGGTATTATTTTCGCTTGCGTGCCGTGCAATTAATCATATCCAAAGTGCAATTGCCCCTGGCTTCTCTGTGTTGTCAATGGGGGAATTCCGCACCAAAATCATCAACTTCAACAATGCCGTCCCCAATTCAACGTCGTTCCGCTTGGGATTGGACGTCAGCGACATTGAAAACTTTTTCCCTCAGCTCCCTCGCGCCGACCTGCTCACAGAGGTCAAATGGGCCATTGCACAATACAAGCAACAGACTGGGCATAGCTATATTTGCATCAGCCGGGGTTTTTCGCCGCACACGAGAAGTACTACATGGGTGTATGGAGATCGCCCGGGCCCGTCCGGGTGGCGATCCTTTCGTTCGTCAAATGCTGCCAACAAGGTGGAGGGGTGCATGGGCGTGAAGGGGAAAGGACATCACTCAATATATATAGACGACATACCATACATCATTGCGTACGACATGAAGTTTGCATGGTTCCGGATTGGCACGCAGCATTATCATTCTCCCGAGGGGCTACCGCAAGGAAGTCCTATATCCCCAGGTGCAGCAAACATGTACGCGAGTATTAAGGAAACGCGTTTCTTATCATCTCTATCGGCCAATGCCCGTGCGAATTTGGACATGCATCTGTGTGCAGTACGATGGATTGACGACCGGCTTTTGGGTTGGAGGGAAGGGATCTGGGACAATTTACTCCATCATCTTCTTCATCCAGAATTCTACAACTGTAATTGCGTACTAAAACCAGGGGGGACTATGTTTGTAGGCACTCAAGTATTCCGTGTTGGTGGTCGTTTTCATGTTACGGCTTGGAGTTCATAAATCGAGAGCGTCATCGCGGGTCCTTGTGGTCATCTGGGGAGGTTATGTTCATCATCATCTTATGGTAGTAAACGAGCGCGTGCAGGTCATCTCGTCGGTCATCTCGTGCGCGCAATAGATTGTGAAATTGGGAGTAGGCGTCAACTTCTAGCCGCTATCATGCATCAGGTTCGTGAGCTTCTTGCTGCAGGGCATGCACGACAAAGCGTGCGTAGAGCAGTATACTCCATTCACAGCAGGATGCCGTTCGCGCGCCTCGACCAGCTGATCCGGCCAGACACCCAAACTGAAGACTTGATCAGATTCCCTGCGATTGCTTTTATCCATAGGATTATGTCGGAAAATGGGTTGGCGCCGTACGTGTAGCTATGTGTGAGTACGTGGTGTTGTTCTTCAATGTTGTGGTATCCTTGGTACGTTTCACAAATTATATATACATGTGTGGGTTGTGCATGCGTGGTGTCTGTCTGTTGTCATCCAGTCCATAGTGAAGACTTCTCGGTGGCAGCCGCCCTGGTGGGAATTCTGACGGCGACTGTTTCCTGACAGCCCGAGGCTCGCGGCGCTGTCTGGGTTCCAGCTCTGCGCATGACGTTTTCCACCGATAATAATCGGCACCAGCGGCGTGTACATTGGTCTGTGTATTGGGTTATTGTCATGTTCTTCCACTCGCTGTTCCTCCTCTTCCCCTCGTTCTTCCTTGTCTGCCTGTTCACTTTCTTCTGCTTGTCCACATTCATCTATCTCTTGTTTGCAGTATGCGCGGCACGTTGTATATATGAGGGCGACGTTGGGCTCGTGAATCAGAGGTGCATCTCGGACTTCTTACTTGCAGGGGATTCTTTCTGAATAGTCATGTCCGCCGACGCGCTTGCCGGTCTGTCCATGCTCGGCCGTCTGATGGGCAACAACAGCCAGCAGCCCGCGCGCCTTGGTGGCCCGCCCAAATGCTGGGAGGAGCAGCGCTTCGGTGTATGCCAGAAGCCCGGTTGCCGCTTCATCCACAAGAACTCCGTGTCCAGCTCCGGCCAGGCCGGTCAGGCTGTTCTGACAGGGCCGTCGCAAGCCGAGCCGGATACAACTGGCGAGCGCGTGCACGACTTCCTCGGCTTATCCTCTCGCACAGACCCGGCCACGAAGCAGAACATGGCTGAGTTGAAGATTGTCGAGCAGCGCGAGGTCATCGAGAAGCTGTGCTCGACGGAGAACGGTTCCCTGCAGTACCGGTGCCTTCCTGTGGCGGGAGGGGTGCACGAGTCCGTGGAGTCCTTGCTGAAGCTGCTGGACCCCCAGTCCCTGCGCGGAGGCACGCCTGTGGGGCCAGAGGTCGTGAAGAACAAGGTGGCGGATATCGTCCGGCACTTGCAGAGCGAGGGGTGGACGCCTCCACAGCAGGCCGTCGACCCGCAGTCCGCGTACATGTCGTCGCTGCAGAGCACCATGCAGGAGCTCACCATGGCCGTGAAGAGTCTGAAGAATGAGTCGCCGCTGGCGATGCCGGTGCTTCCCTCGCCTGCCCGTGCAGCCTCTGGGCTGGGAGCCGGGTCCAAGCGCTCGGCAGGCACCCGTGCCGGTGGCGACATGGGCGTCGTCTTTCGCCAGGCGTCCCTCGCGGCGCTGGGGGAGGACACCGAGGCTCTGAACGTCTTCAGCGACTCGCCGGCGCGCAAGCAGATGTGTGCCGGCCTGGCTGCGCAGGAGGGTGCGGGCGGAGTGGTCGCGATCGATGACAGCGAGGACGCCGACCTCCTGCCGCTGTCCCCCGCGAGGGCGCTCGTGGAGAAATACAGGGAGGCGGCGGTGGCACACCCGCCGGCCAAGACCAAGAACATCCCGTACGCGGACAACACCCCGCTGCCGGAGATGCTCCGGCAGATGGCCGGGCCAATGCCCGCCGGGGCAGCCGGCGTCGACCCTGGTGACGTGGTGGTGTTCTTGGACACGCAGAGCCAGCCGGTCACGGAGAAGGCGCTGGAGGTGCTCCCGTACGTTGTCCGCACGCTGTCAGGCGCCCAAAGGCCGTGTACCCGCTTGTCCCAGCTCCTGCAGACGTACGGGGTAACCTACGCGAGCGAGCGGAAGCAGCACCTGGCAGTGAGCCTGCTCGCTCCTGTCCGCGAGGCGCCTGTTGTCCCTGCCATGCACTCCATGATGGCTGTCAAAGAATGCTGCCGCCAGGCCGCCGGACATGCCTATGTGAAGGGGCACCAAGCGATAATTATCGTGCAATCATGAAGCTATATGCGACGACGTGATTCGATTCTGCAGCGATTCACTTGGCGTTCCCAATTGAGGTGTCGTAGGGCAAGCCGCGATGCCGGCGGGAATGCTCATTCTCATCTTGCACGTTTTTTCATACACACCGTTCTGTGCATTGCACTCTCATCCTTTGTTTCCCCTCCTGCTCGCTCTCCCTCTCTCGTCTCTTGCTCTTGCCGCCGTCCACCATCCCTTTCCTGCTCATTCTATGTGTCTGTCCCGGGCCGGCATGCACGCCGTTCGCAGGATCTCGGCTCGCAGGTGTCGTGAAGAGAGCCACTGAAAGAGAAGCGAACGCGATGTTCCTCCGCCTCCTCCTCCCCCTCCTCCTCCTCCTCCTCCTCCTCCTCCGCCTCCGCCTCCGCCTCCGCCTCCTCCTCCTCCTCCTCCTCCTCCTCCTCCTCCTCCTCCTCCTTCCCTCTGGCCCCTGGCCCCACCGAGGGGGTGGCGCGGGGGGGGCGGCCGTCGGAGGCGGCAGTCGGCGGCGCGCCGACGGGGGCAGGGGGAGGCTGCCCAGAGGGGTGCTTCGTGGAGGCCCTCGGATTCGAAGAGGCCCTCGCGAGCACTGCGGGCTCAAATGCACGGGGCCGTGTCCAGGGCAAGAACAAGAATGACGAGGAGCAGGGGGAGGAGGAGGAGGAGGAGGAGGAGGAGGAGGAGGAGGAGGAGGAGGAGGAGGAGGAGGAGGAGGAGGAGGAGGAGGAGGCGGGGCTCCCAAGAAGCGCCCTGCCCTCCAAGAAGCCCCCCGCCCTCCCCCTCTGCCCTCGTCGGCGCGCCGCCGAGGCGGAGTCGTGGGGGGGTGCCAGAGGCGACCCATGGCCGCAGGGGGGCCCCAGTTCCGAGAGGGGCGAATTGAAAGTTCGCTCGCCTTGGGGAACTCTCCCCCCCAAACCGGGGGGCCCCCTCCCCCTGGGGAAATAATCCAGGGATCCCCCTCTGAAGCCCAGGGGCCCCCCCCTAAAACCCCTTCATCCCCTCCGCCCTGACGACGACGACGACGACGACGACGACGACGACGACGACGACGACGACGACGACGACGAACGTCGTCAGCGCGGCGTGAGGGAGTGGTCCAAGAGCTCCTTTCCCCCCCTAAGGGGCGGGGGCACGAAAGGGCAGGGTAGCACAGGGTAGGGCAGATCATCATCTCACGTAGCTGGCTCTCCTAGCGCCTCCTGGCGCCCTTGTATCGAGGAGTAGGCCCGCCGGTGGGGCCGCAACCAGCTGCATGCAGCAGATTTCGTAACCTCCCTTTTCCCTATCTCCCCCTCTTTCGTCTGGCCCGAGAGCGGCGAGGGTGGGTGACCCCCCCCCACCAAGTGAACGCGAAACTCGCTCTCTCCCAGCTTTCCAGGGAGGCCCGGACGGAGGGCTCCAAGGCACCCCTCGCGAGGCCCCGAGGGCCCCAGGGGTTCCCAAGCAGCGTTCAAATCTGGGGGCACCTCAGGCCAAGATCATTTGTGGCAACCTCCGACAGAGGGGTGCCTTCCTTTAGGTCGGGCATGTCCTCCTACATGCGGATTTTGGGCGAAACAAAAGTACTCAGAAATATCTTTTTAAAAACTAAATCAACTAATAAGAAAATCGTCCCCATATCATTGTTTACTATTTTTGAATATTCCTCCTGGACACGCCGGACTTAAGCCTTCAGAGAAGCGCCCTCAGGAGCCCCCGAGACCCCCCCCGCCTCCCCTATCAGGAGGCTGACCCCCCCCCTGCGCCACCCCGACACTGTGCGTTGTGCGGCGCCGCCGGAAGGAAAGCCGAAGACGAAACGGTGCCGTGCAAATGCTCGGGCAGAGAGAGCAGGAGAAGGAACAGCTGCACAAAGCATAACCCTTCGGGGGTGCGCGCGGACGCCTCTGCATCGGCGCCGGACCCCGCTCCCTGGCGCGCGGACCGCGCCAGGGGCGGCGCTGGGTGCGCGCCGCCCAGGGGGTCCGGCGCCGAACGAGGTCGTGTCCGCGCAGGCCCTCGAAGCACTACGCCCGCGCACCCCTTCCTCCTCCGGGTCGAGAAAACCGCGCGCTTGAAAAAAGGTGCCCGGCCGGCCGTCTCTCCGCGGGCCCCGCGTCTCTCGGGCCGAGCGGATGGGGGGGATAGCAAAGGGGGGGTTTGAGAATCAGCTCGCGTAGCTGATTTTCCCGGCGCCTCCCGGCGCCGGAGGCGGCTATGTATCAGGGAATGGGCCTGGCGGCGGGGCCGAAACCAGCTGCATGCAGCAAATTTCGTAACCCCCCCTTTCCCAATCCCCCCCTTTCGCCCGGCCCGAGTCTCTCGGGCCGAGCGGATGGGAGGCCGCCCCGAGCGGGGTCGGAGGAGGTGGGGCCGCAGGAGCGTACCGCGCCGCCGATGCGTCGCCGACGCGTCGGCGAAGCCGGGCTGGACAAGATCGGACTCAGGATCGCGCCGCATCGCCGATGCGGCGCGATTCTTACTGTTCCAAGAGTGAAGGGGCCCTGGGACACACAAATAAATACACACAAATTATCCCAGTGCGACCCTACCTAGGAGTTGGAGCCCCTAGGAAAGCAGCATTATTAGTAACGGTAAAGCTAAACTAAAGCTAAACTAAAGCTAAGCTACAGCTAAGCTAAAGCTAAGCTAAAGCTAAGCTACAGCTAAGTTGCAGCTAAGCTAAAGCTAAGCTGAAGCTAAGCTAAAGCTAAAGCTAAAACTAAAGCTAGGGGGCGCAACTGGGGGAACCGCTCCCAAGGGACTGGGGGAACCGCCCGGGGCGGGCAACACTGCCCGGCCCCTTTAAGATAGAGAGTAAGAACCCTTCTAGGCAGAGTCTAGGTAGGGAATAAACAGATGCCCCATATTTTCCCATGTTTTCTGGGTTTTTGTCTCCCCCCTCACTTCCCATATTTTCCTATATTTTCTGGAGAACCGACGATTAATTGTGTCTGTGTGTTTCTTTCCCTCCTGATCCTTACTGTTCCAAGAGGGCCATCAACAAAGGAGCGGAGCGACATGCACCTTCCATGCACGCCTGGAGTCCACGGGGTCCCCTTCTTCAAGTGGGGCAGCCAAAAGATACCGATACCGCTACTCCCTGGACCTCTCCCGAGGTGCGTTCCGAGGACAATTTGGAAGCGAATCCAGCCATGATGACGAGGGCCTCCCAGGAGGCGTAAAACGGCGAAAACGGTGACGGTATCGGTACACGTCGGTCGGAAGAAGTAGGTAGAAACATGAAGTAGGAAGGCGGATATAGTAGATTGGGTCCATGATCTCCCAGATAATAACTAAACACAGCAAAAGCATGCCGATTCGTGAAGTAGGAAGGCGCTTGAAGTAGATTGGGATCTGGGAATCCAGAAACACCTACTTTCAACGACCGGCGTGTAACGGTATCGGTACCTGGCCCCCCGGCAGGGCTGAGAGCAGGAGCAGCGCAGAGGAGGAGGAGGGCAGGGTGGAGGGGCGGGCAGCGGGGGAGGACGGGCTCGGAGGGGCGAGGGGCCCCTCTCCTCCTCCTCCTCCTCCTCCTCCTCCTCCTCGTCCTTCTCGTCCTCCTCGTCCTCGTCCTCGTCCTCCTCCTCCTCCTCCTCCTCCTCGTCCTCGTCCTCGTCCTCGCCCTCGCCCTCGTCCTCGTCTTTCCCTCCTCCGGACTCCAGGCTCCTGGAGGTGTACGGAAGGTGCACCTCCCTGCCATCGCTCGGACGCGCGTCCCCCGTGCACTCGGCTTCACGCACGGGTATGTTTCGCACGAGGATCCAAGCTGCTCCTCGATGCTCCCCGCCGAGACAGGCTGCACGCGTCCGAGCGATGCCACGCCTCAATTCACCCCGCCGCTCCTCGCCCGAACTGCGCGACGCACCCCGAGATCCTCCGACCCCGCCCACGCGCTCCGGCGGCCCGGCCAGCAGCAGAAGGCAGTCGGGACTCGACTTGGACGAGGCCGGGGCGGAAGGGGGGGGCGGGGCGAGGTCGGAGGGATCCTCGGGGGGTACCGTCGGACCGGAGACAGAAGAACATCATCCAAGAACATGCGACCCTCCGCCGGCCAGAGCACCCCAAACCTCGAAGAGATCAGTCGAGGGTGCCCTCCCCCAGGATGCACAAGGACGATCATCAAGCACGAAACACACAGGGGTTACCCTCCCCGAATCGACCTTTACACCTCGGCCCGACTGTACAACGATCGCGTGGTCCTTTCTCTCCGCGTCCCCATTGGCACCCCTGCCCATGCCTCCTCATGATTACAAAAAACGCAAGGTTTCGCATCACGGAATTTCAACAAAAGCGTGCGCGCGCGCTCTTGCGTCGTCGTCGTCGTCGTCGTCGTCGCCGTCCTCCCTCCTCCCGTGTCGTCGTCGTCGTCGTCGCCTACGTCGTCCTGTGTCTTTCCTCGTGTTCGTCGTCGTCGTCCTCTGTGGCGTCGTGGTCGTTTCTGTCGTCGTTGTCGCCGTGGTCGTCCTTCCTCCTCCTCCCTCGTCGTCGTCGTCGTCGTCGTCGTCGTCCGTCGTCGGCGTCTCGTCGTCGTCCCTCCTATTTCGTCGCCGTCGTCGTCGTCGTCGTCGTCTTCCCTCCTCCCTCGTCGTTGTCGTCGTCGGCGTCGCCGTCCTCCCTCTTCGTCGTTCGCGTCGTCGCCGTCCTCCCTCCTTCCTCGTCGTTGTCGTCGTTGTCGCCGTCGTCGTGCTCCCTCCTCGCTAGTCGTCGTCGTCGTCGTCGTCGTCGTCGTCTTCGTTGGTAACGTCGTCGTCGGCGTCGGCGTCGTCGTCGTCGTCGTCGACGTCGGCGTCGTCGTCGTCGCCGCCATCGTCGTCGTCGTCGACGTCGTCGTCGTCGGCGTCGTCGACGTCGTCGTCGTCGTCGTCGGCGTCGTCGTCGTCGGCGTCGTCATCGTCGTCGTCGTCGCTGTCGTCGTCGTCGTCGGCGTCGGCGTCGTCGTCGTCGTCGGTGTCGTCGTCGTCGTTGTTGTCGTCGTCGAAGTCGTCGGAGACGTCGTCGGTGTCATCGTAGTCGTC